AACATGGATTTTTGTTGTTTGAGACTTTGCTTTTTTATATCTGTACCCTGAACCTGGGACGAATTTCAGGCTCTGTTTGGGGAAAGAACTGTACTATGCCTTTAAAAAAAAAAATGCCACCAAGCAATTAGATCCACATTGCTTGAAATATGACTCAACCTATCATTTTAGGTGATTGGCAAATCATCACCTAATTTGTACTCTGGCTCTATTATCTTTACTGTTCTTTACATGGGTTCACCTTTAAGGGAATAAAACCTTTGACATGGTTTTAATATTGACAGTCCAGTATTCTAGACCAAATCTATCTGATAGAGCTTTCTGCAATGATGGGCATATTCCATCTGCACTGTCCCATATGGTAGCCAGTAGTTCTGTGTGATTACTAAGCACTTGCAATGTGCTTACTGGACTGAGAAAGTACATTTCATTTTAATGAACTCAAATTTAGATACCCACAGTGAGTCTTGGTAACCCTATTTTTGCATGTGATGTCACAAATTGTTCAGTAAACATGGTAATAGTATTCAAAGGCTTGAAATTCAATAAAATGTTGGCTGCTAAACACTTTCTAAAAAAGCTAATGACTACCATTGTTCATTTTATTTTGGCTTGCTAAGTTTCCAGCCATCCCCTCAATTTTGTGAACCTGATTTAATGGACTTCAATTTACTGGACAAAATTCTGGTCCATATGTCATATGTGAAAAGTAACACTCTGTTAATTTTAAAATTCTTTTTAACTAAGATCTGCTTAAAATTAAATTAATGAATTCTTCTATTATTAATTCACTGTTAGTTTTTATTTTTTGGTAATCTTTGAAGATATTTTTTCCATTCATTTTTTTAAAAGAAAAATATTTTTATTAATTTCAGAGCACAGGGAGAGGGAGAGATAGAAACATTGATGAGAGAGAACCACTGATCAGTTGCCTCCTGCACGACCCACCCTGGGGATTGAGCCCCCAAACTGGGCATATGCCCTGATTGGGAATCAAATTGTGACCTCCTGGTTCATAGGTTGACTCTCAACCACTGAGCGACACCAGCTGGGTTCACTGTTATTTTTAGGCCATATGTTGGAACATTAGTAATTTTGCCAACATAAATAAGTATTACATATGTACAACTATATTCTACATATTTAACTGATGTTCTAACATACATTAAGCCACACCCCAGTTACGTGCATTTATTTACTCCTGGTAACTGGTGAATGCATGCATTTACTAGACCTATTCAATATAAATTTAAAATTATTGCAATACATATAGAAAACTTTACTGTGATATTTAACTTTTCATACAAACTTAATTTTAATTACACAAATGTGTTTACACAAGTAAAAATAGGTAAGCTAATTAATGTTTTAACATATACATTTGGAAAACCTACTTTATTATAAAACAGACTAACAGATACCTTGCCTGAATTATTAGTCTGTTAGATTGAGGTTTCACTGTACTGTCAACAATAAAAAATAAATGAAAAAATAATACTTAGTTGTAAAATGATCCTACAGCATATATTTACACTTTAAAAATCCCAATGTATTTTCCTCATTTTGAACTCTTTGTTACTCATATGCATGCACAGATAAAGGTCTGAAAAGATATGGTGCAAAGAAAGGACAATAGGACCAGGATGAGGGGTACTGTGCAAATGGGATTTACCTTTGTCATAATGTTTTAAAATTTTCACAGGGAAAATGTGTCTAGCCCTAGACGGTTTGGCTCAGTGGATAGAGCATCAGCCTCAGACTGAATGGTCCTGGTTTCGATTCCAATTAAGGGCACGTACTTCAGTTGCAGGTTCCCCGCCATGGTTCGAATGCATGCAGGAGGCAACCAATTGATGTCTCTCTCATACTGGTGTTTCTCTCTCTCTCTCCCTCTCCCTTCCACTCTTTCTAAAAATCAATTGAAAAATATCCTCAGGTAAGGATTAACAAAAAGATAACGTGTCTATTACTTAGGTAAGTGAAGGTTAACATAAAAATGAAGGGAAGTGGCCAAGTGTAAAAAGGTCACAAAATCAACAGATATTGACTGCTTTACTCTGTGCCAGTCTGTATGGTGTGGGTCTACAGTAGCAAACAAGACTTGGAGAACTATAGAGTAACAAATGAATATAGTGTGTGTAAGGCAGTGAGAAGCTACAAGGAAAAGGAAAGTTTGCAGAGCATGTGGAAAACTGAACCCTCATACATTGCTGGTGGGAATATAAGAGTGCAGCCGTTTGGAAAACAGTTTGACAGTATTTCAAAAAATTAAACAGAATTATTATGTGACCCACTGCCATTCCACCTCTAGTTATACACCCGAGAATAAAAAACATATTCATACAAAAACTTGTATAAGAATGTCCATACCAGCACTATTCATAATAGTCAAAATGCCCAGCAACTGATACATTAATAAAAATGTGGCCGAAACCGGTTTGGCTCAGTGGATAGAGCGTCGGCCTGTGGACTGAGGGGTCCCGGGTTCCGTCCCGGTCAAGGGCATGTGCCTGGGTTGAGGGGACATCCCCAGTGGGGGATGTGCAGGAGGCAGCTGATCAATGTTTCTCTCCCATCGATGTTTCTGGCTCTCTATCTCTCTCCCTTCCTCTCTGTAAAAAATCAATAAAAAAAAAAGTGCTATGTGATAGAACAGAATATTATTCAACCATAAAAAGTGACAAAGTACTGATACATGTTATAGCATGAATCTTGAAAACATTATGCTGGAACAAACCAGACACTAAAGACCAAATTATTGTGTAATTCCATTCCATGAAATATCCATTTATATGAAAATGTCCACATCAGACACATTTTTAGAGACAGAAAATACATTAGTGGTTTCTGGGGTGGGGAGGGATGAGGAATGACTATTAAATGTGTGCAGTTTATCTTTGTGGTGATGAAAATTTTTTTTTGGAATTCTGGTGATGGATGCATAAGTCTTGAGTATACTAAA